GTCGTGTGGATCAGAACTCCTCCAAGTGGTGAGACACTTTCTCCCCCTTCCTTCCTTCTTTTCTCATCTTTTCCTTTCCTTCTACAGTCACATTAAAATATACAGCCTCTAACGACATCATCCGGGTTTTCTTTCTTTGGAAGAACCCAGGCTAGGGATGAAAACGTGCCCCTGGTCAGAAACAAACGTGGAAAACACCACGAAGACCAGACACCAGCCATGACGCCCTGTGTTCTTAATACAGAAGAGTGCTTGCTGCAAAATGTTAAAAAACTGAAAGCAGCAAGAATGCAAAAATATGCCACAGCAGCTGTAGACTTAGGTGCCCTGGGCTGGTGCTGGCTGAGGGCTGGGAGGACTCCTCGGGGCAGCAGCCTGGTGGCCAGAGAAACGTCAGACGTCCGCTCTCCCCTCCCACTGCCCCCAAACCTCCTAACGGAGGCCAAAGGAGCCCTGCTTCATTCCAAGGTACCAGTCGCACACAGGAGGCTCTGACTGGAAACACAGGGCCACCGGGCTCAGCACCTCCGCCCCAACCTCCGCCAGCCCCGCGGTGCCCTCCCACCCCAGGCGCTGTGCCCGCCGCGGAGGGGTGCCCTGGCTTCCTCCCCTCACAGCTTCCCGCTCGCTCCCAGCCCCCCTGCCCGCACCAAGTGGGCCTGCTAGACAGACGCCAGGGACAAGCCCCGGCCCCTCGGGAAGCTCAGTGACGCAGAAAAGCGTGAGGGGCAGCCCTACAGGAGACCCTTCCTCTAGTCTGCCTTCTTCTGCGGGGGAGAGTGCGAGAGGGTGAGGCAGGAGGGGAGCAGATGTGAAAATCCGCCACCCCCACCATGGACCTGTCTGCTCCTTAGTGGACCTGATGCCCCCCGGCTGGACTCTGCTGTCACCGCTTCCCTTAGTATGAGCAGGGGCTTCGGGAGGAAGCAGTGAGATGCTGATGGTAGCAGAGGATGGGGTGGGCATGGGGCGGTCTGGGAGGAAACGAAATGGGTCCCCTCGCCCTGAAAGGTTTTAATCTCGTCCAGGTTTACAAATTGCCCGAGCCAGAGCACGCGGGCTTGGGGCAGAGTGCAGAGGGCTGGGGTGCAGGGGAGAAGGGCGCTGCGGGGCCCGGGTGGGGCTGGTGTGGGAGTCTCAAGGCATGACAGGAGACTGGTGTTTCAGACTCACGACCCGGGCCGGCGCGGCAGAGGGGAGGGAAGGGGCGCGAAGTCCATGGACATGTATATCTGTGTTTGGGAAACCGTGGGCAGAGCCAAAGCTGGTATAAACCATGAAACATTTTGTCAAAGTTTCCGTGGAGCTGGGCCATGGAGACCACACCCCCACCAGTGGCCACACTCCCCTGCTGTTCCAGGCCTGGGGGGAGCCCTGCAGAGACCTCAGCTCCAGCCCCTGGCAGACAAATAACCGGGGCCTGCAGTACCGGAAGAAGCCTGGGGTTTGGCCCATCTCTGCCAGGGACACCTGCGCATCATGAGCAGAGCCCGTCTCCTCAGACGCCAGACACTGATTCCTGTGCTGCCCGCATCCCACCGGGGGAAGCCACCGCGAGCCCCTGGGGGGGCCAATGGGAGGAGACTCGGGGGACTGTCCAGGCGGGCAGAGCTCCAGGCACCTGCCAACCATCTTTCCAGGGACAAGAAACACCTGTCGTTTGAACCGCCTGCTCTCACTGAATGCGAGGATCCCCACCCGAGTGACCCTTGGACGAAAACCCTGTAACTGGGCCCTCTGAGCTGGGCCCTCCAAACGCTCCCCAGGGGCTGGCTGTCCCAAGGCCCTCCGCTTGCCTCTGCCCACCCCATGGGACTGCCCAGACCCGGGGGGAACTCGGAGGGCACCAGGTCCAGTCCTGGCCTTTAAGACAGGGCACCTGAGGCCGGAGTCCAGAGGGACCTGCTCCAAGTCCCCACTGAGTTCGCTCCTGAGCCCCTGCCCGGGGCCAGCCCCGGGCTGGGTGTGGGTCCCAGGGCTGAGTCTGACCCTACCCGCCCCCGGGGCTCCCAGCGCTCCAGCCCTGACCCTCTCTGCTCCCGGCACACGCTTGCCCAGGGGCTCGGCCTCCAGGGAAGGGAAGGGAAGCCCCCCACCCCCATCCCGGGGCCCAGTCCTGTGCCCTGCCCTGCCCTCCCCTCCCAGCTCTGAAGCCCCAGGTCACCTTCCCCACAGGCCACTCCCCACCCTGCCCGGCCTCGCCTCACCCCCTCCACCCTGGCTCAGGAACATCCTAAGGCAGGTCACACGCTGATGGTTAGCCCCTCATTCAGGCTGGCACTGCTCCGCTGCCCCCAGTCTCCTTCAGGAGGCCCGCCGGACATGTCCAGGACCCCTCCCGAGGGTGGGGAGCCCCCCACTCTGCCCGGAGCTGCGGCCTCTGCTGTGGGTTCTCCCCACCGGGAGGGAAAGACTCGGCCGGGATGGCGGGTTTGGACCGACTCCTGGCCATCCTCTGTGCGCTCCCCATAGGCCGGCGCCGCGGGCCCTGCCGCTTCAGCCCTGATCCGCAGCCGTGGGTGCGGGGGCCACGGGGGCCACGGGAGGACGGCCCCGTCACCTCCTCAGCTCCCAGATGGGCCGCCGCTGGTCCCAGCCCTCCCGCACCAGGGCTGCGTGTTCCGGGACCCCGTCCCCCGCGGTGACTGTGAACCTCACTCAGGTCCAAGTGCAGACACGGCCTCAAGACAGGCAGCCCAAACCCGGAGGTTGCCTTTCACACAAAAATCTTTAATAAAAATAGCTCTCTGCAGAACCAGTCCTAGACAGCAGTAGCAAACTCAAACTCCTGCCACCTGGGCAGGAAGGAGCAAGGCCAGCTGAGGGGTCTGAACTGAGGGCAGGGCTGCCCTGAAGGCGGAGCTCCGCCAGAGGCGCTCGGGGGCCCACACACCTTCTCATTCTTCCATAGGAGTTACGAACACGTCTGCGTTTCTTAGGAGTGTCACTAACTGGTCGCCCTCGCCACCAAATGATGGTAGGTGGCTACGTGAGACACTCAAAGGCTGACAGGGAGCAGCGTGCCCTACACACTCAAGACAGAAGTAAGTGGGTTCACACGTCAGCAAAACGCCGGGACGAGGTGACACCAGGGCATCCGGCAGGCAAACGGCCCTTGGCCAGCACACAGGCGAGAGCAGGGGAGGGAGGGAGCAGGAGAAGGGCAGGCAGCCCGGGCGGCCCACCCCGCACGGCGCTGGCGGCGGCCCGCTCGGCCTAGTAGCCCAGGAGCCGCCTGGCCTCCTCGCTCTGGGCCTGCAGCGTCTCGCTGGTGTACTTCTGCAGGAGCTCCATCTTCTTCCTCCGCACGAGCGCCTCCTCGATCTGCGGGCGGGAGAGCCGAGGGCTCAGGCCGCAGGCCCCGTAAGGCCAACACGCCGCCTGGGCCCGGCCGGGAGCCCAGCACTCTGCATCCCAGGGCCCAGGTCTCCGCCGGGGGAGCAGGTGAGGGAGAGAGTGCTCGACTGCTGCCTCCAAGGTAGACGGAACGCTGCCTCGTCTGGACGCCTCGCCCTAACCTGAGCCCAGGGACCAACGCCCTGTGGAAGGGAGTGAGAGCCGCCCAAAGGGACAGGAAGGACCAAGAAAACCACACAGCGCCCCATGGGGCCCCTCGGAGGCCAGGCGGCCCCCAGTCTGTCCTACCTCTTGCTGCGACGGCACCGGGACGTGAGCGATGAACTTCTGCTGCCCGTCCTCCCCTCCTTTCTCCTGGCCGCCCTCCTCATCAGACTGCAAAAGAGTACAACCAGAGGCCGCGCAGAGGAGACCGTTAGTAAGTGCTGGCACCGCCATAATGTGCACCAGCCTGCAGCCATTGAAAAGGAAATACAGCGACGAGGAAGCTCTGTTCTCAGACACAGAGACACCCAAGACACAGCGTTAAGTACAAGAAGCAACAGAACACTGTGTTTTGCACGACCTCTTGTACGAGGAAGAAAAGAGAAGCCGGTGATCTCAGTGAGAGCCAGCGGAGAGAGGACAGGGCTGCGAAAGATAAGCTGTGTTAAATCTCTGTATACTTTTTGCGTTTTGAGTCTTGAGAATACATGATCTATTTTTTTAATTAAACTTGAAAAAAGCATATATAGAAGAAAGCATCACTCAGAGGCTGCCTGTGAGTCAGCAGAGACCACTCATAACCTAAGGAATGATGTAGCCCTGAAGGCGTGAGGAGAGAGGAGGCCTGTGTGGCGGCAGGTCCACTGCCTGCAGGGCTCTGGGCTGGACCCTGACCCCACCCCCTGCCCCAGGTCACCAACTGCCAGGAAAGCCGCAGACGCCTCTGGTAGGAGAAACTGGTCCCAGGGCTCTGGGAAAGTCGGGCTGCATCCACCGAGGCAGGCGAGCCCACGGGTGGAAGTTCCACTCCTCAGGGCACACTCCAACAAGGAAGGCTGTTGTAGCCCCGAAGAATCCACACATGTGATGAAAGACATAGCACTGCCCACACACGTCACACCACGTCAGGTCCCTCGGTGGACACTGCACTGTCACTGTGCAAGCCACCGGGGACACTGGGTGAAGGACGACACAGGACCCTCGGCAGCAGCTGTGCAACTTCCCGTAAATCTTAAGCATTTCAGGATAAACAATTTTTACATCCTCTGATGGCTTTCCATTGCTCTCACCGTAAAGGAAAATGCTTCCCCAGGGGAGCCGGGGCCCTTGCTCGGCCCACCTCCCCTTCCGCAGCCTCCACTCTGCCCCCACTCTGCCCTCCAGCCACCGGCCCGTCCTCTGTCCCCCACGCTCCCATGGGGTCATCCGCTCACACTGTTCCCTACTGCCTCTTCGCTTGGTTACTTCCCCCTTGTTTCCGGATCTCAGCTGAAGGGTCACGTCCCCAGAAAAGCCTTCACTGGCCCTGCCTTCACCATGTCGCTACCCAGAGCTCCTATCACGGCTGCCATTTCCCACGGTGTCTGCTGACCGGACTGTCCCCCCGGGCTTCAAGCTACAAGCGAAGCATGTTTGCTGTCCTGCCCCTTGAGTAGGCCTCACAGTAGCCACTCATTAAACAAACATCCCTTGAAAGAGCATATGGATTATTTGCATCTAGAGAAAATCTTCCTGGGGCACGCTGCCATCCTGTTTCAAATGCCTGCCTGAGGGCACGAACCTCAGGTCTGCTAGATCCTGCGTGACGGTGACTAAGTCACTAAGTCTCTCTGAGCCTGCTTCCTTGCCACTGACATCATGGCAAGCCATGTGATGTCACACAGGGCCTGACCCATAGTCCAGGCATGGATGCTTCCCTTCCCGTTGCTCGGTCGAGCAAATCAGTTGCTCTTGGACCTGCCCAGGGAGCAAGGCCTGCAGGGTTGCTGGGAGCAAGAGGGCACTGCCTTAGGGATCACTCCATCCCCAACCGGGACCCCCTGAGGAAGTCCCTTCTCTGCTCTGGGCTGGTTTCCAGCTGTAGCAGATGGCGGTTAAGACCACAGAAGAGTTGCTGACACTGCCATTTAAGCAGAAACAATGAGGTCACGGGCCAAAACACACTGTCTTCAAATGTGTTTATAAATCCGATTCCAGCATGTTCAGGAGGGCCCATCTCTGAGATGCACATAAGTCATCCCCGGCGTAGAGCAGTTTAACAAGTGCCCTCACAGCCATTCCTCTCTGGAACCCTCCCTGTGAACCCGGAAGGTGCCCTCCATCCCCACCGTCTAGGAGAGAAGGCCGAAGCCTCAGATGGCGGCAGGGGCAAGAGCCGGGCCTCGACCCTGGCCCCTCGTCTGCGCTTCCTGCTACCGAGCCCCCATCCTCCGCGGCACAGAGAAGGCGGTGAGCGCCAGGGGGTCCCACGCCGCCCCCCAGTACCTCCTGGTCGGCAACGGCGTAGATGTCGGCCTCCTCTTCCTCCTCCTCCTCCTCCTCCCCTCTTGCCAGCCGGGCCTCTCTCTCTGCTTTCCACTTGTCCACTAACTCGGCTCTAACTGCACACAAGGGAGAGCAGGCGTTACTCACTCTGGCCTCTAAGAAAGCGTCAAACCCCATGCAGGGCGAGGCCAAGGCCTCCCTGCTGGAAAGGGTCACCTTCATCCTGCCACAGTGGGCAGGAATCAGATAGGAATCAGACAGGAGGGCAGCTTTTAGGGGACACACCCAGATCCTCCCCAGTTCAGCACCCTGAGGTTCTCAAAAAACTAAAACTAGAACTACCAAGTGATCCAGCAATTCCATTCCTGGGTATATATCTGAAAACAACAAAAACACTAATTCGAAAAGATACATGCACCCCAACGTTCATAGCAGTACTATTTACAGTTGCCAAGATATGGAAATAAACTAAGTGCCCATCAACAGATGGATGGGTAAATAAGATGTGGTGTATATATATACACACACACACAGACACACACATACACACACACACACACACACACACACACGCATATACACAATGGGATCCTACTCAGCCATAAAAAAGAATGAAATAATGCCATTTGCAGCAACATGGATGGACCTACAGATTATCATACTGAGTGAAGTAAGTCAGATGGAGAAAGACAAATACTGTATGATATCACTTATACGTGGAATCTAAAAAGTACAACAAACTAGTGAATATAACAAAAAAGAGCCAGACTCACAGATACAGTGAACAAACTAGTGGTTACCAGTGGGGAGACAGAAGGGGGGAGGGACAATTTAGGGGTAGGGGATTAAGAGGTACAAACTATTAAGATAAAATAAGCTGGGGCTTCCCTGGTGGCGCAGTGGTTGAGAATCCGCCTGCCAATGCAGGGAACACGGGTTTGAGCCCTGGTCTGGGAAGATCCCACATGCCGCGGAGCAACTAGGCCCGTGAGCCACAACTACTGAGCCTGCGCGACTGGAGCCTGTGCTCCGCAGCAAGAGAGGCCGAGACAGCGAGAGGCCCGCGCACCGCGATGAAGAGCGGCCCCGGCGCGCCGCAACTAGAGAAAGCCCTCGCGCAGAAACGGAGACCCAACACAGCCAAACATAAATAAATAAATAGATAAATAAAATTTTTTTTAAAAATTGGATTAAAAAAGATAAAATAAGCTGTACAAGGATATATTATACGACATGGGGAGTACAGCCAATATTTTATAATAGCCGCTAAGGGAATATACCTTTAAACGCTGTGAATCTCTACGCTGCACGCCTGTAACTTACATAATATTGTACATCAACCACTTCAACTCTTTAAAAAGCCCTAAAAAAACAATGTCCCTTTTGTAAAAATAAAAATAAAACCTCACTTTCAAGGGAGAGAAAAGAAACCAGATGCCAGCAGCAATGAAATGAAATGCCCGCAGACCTACGTTTCTTTTCATATTCCTGTTCCAAAGGCACAATAACACCATCGTCTTCATCTAGGTAACCGTAGTATTCAAAATCGATCGCCTTCATGAGCTCAGCGCGTGTCTTTCTTGGAGGAGGAAGAGCTAAAAGAAAGAATTCACCAGCTTAGCTGAATTCCCCGTCATGATCTCACTCAAGCCTTCTCCTCATACAATGTTACGCAGGCATATAGTAGGTGTGTTCATGAAAATATCAGGAAATAGGCACTTCTCTACACTAGTAATGGGATTATATACGTGGTACCACCCTTTTTAAAATCAGTGTTGAGGGCTTCCCTGGTGGCACAGTGGTTAAGAATCCACCTGCCAATGCAGGGAACACGGGTTCAAGCCCTGATCCCGGAAGATCCCACATGCCACGGATAGCAACTAAGCCCTTGCGCCACAGCTACTGAGCCGCTACTGAGCTCACGAGCCACAACTACTAAAAGCCCACACGCCTAGAGCCTGTGCACCACAACGAAGAGCAGCCCCTGCTCAGTGCGACTAGAGAAAGCCTGCGTGCAGCAACAGAGACCCGATGCAGCCAAAAATAAATAAATAAATAAATTTTAAATAAATAAATAAGTAAAATTAAATCAGTGTTGAAATCTTTGACCCAATTAGTCCATTTAGAAGGAATCTATCCTAATTTAAAAAACAGAAACAAAAGCCGCCAAAGCTTTACGGACAGAGGTGTGCATCACAGCGTTATTTATACGACAGTGAAAACTTGGACAGCCAAGGACTGTGACGGGCAATTCAAGCATGGCGGAGGGGAGGCGATCCTGCAGCCCCAGTAATGCTGCTTCACAGGGTGCTTTATCAACACAGGAAATGCCACAATATTTAATGAAAAAACTAAGAATACGGATAAAACAAAAGAAACTACAAACAAAAAAGATAAATGAGAAATTCCTGACGAAAATAATTTCAGACTAAGAATTACTATTCAGAATATTTGGTACTACTTGAAAATCAAAAGGGAAATGACAACCCAACAGATTAGTCAAAGAATAAAAGCTGATAATTGAAGAAGAAAAAACTCTTATGTATGAAAATTTCATTTAGTAACTGAATTTGATTGTCAGTTTCATTAGTAATGGGGGGGAAACAAAAAAATTAAAATAATACATTGTTCCAAGCACCAGATCAGCAAAAATGTTATAATTATAAACATCTAGAAATAACTAAATACCAAAGGAGGGATGGTCACACCAAGTACGGTTAATCCCTGAGACTCTCTAAACCATCACATCACTTGGCATTCTAAGGAGAACCATGAGAGGACATGGACGGACTGCACACACAACCCTGTCCACCCCTCCACCACGTGGGCTGCATCCAGGACAGGGCTGAAAGCTAGCAGGCTCAGAGCACTGCATGCATTCCGGCCACAGGATGGAGCTGTGATCCAACCAAAGCCAACCAGACTCAATTCTGGGAATTCTGCTTGAACTGTTTGGGGGAAAAAAATCTGTTGCTGAGAGAGAACAAAATTTAAGTTGATGACGGACAACCGGCCACCAGAACAGGAGAGTGAGACAGAGAAAAAAGCTCACAAGATGGAAGCCAAAACTGCAAAACGGAGCAATGTGACCTGGAACCAGCCATTCCTGAAGGCAAACTTGTCAGTTATGTGAGCCAATAAATTTATAGGCTTTTCTGCCTAAAGTAATTGGGGTTGAGTCACCTGTCACTTGTGCTGATGTAATTTAGTTGATGAGATAAATATGGAAGTGCATGGAAAAGGCTGGAAGGGAACATTCCAAACAGATAATAACAGTGACGGGTCATCTCTAGCAGGGCACTGGGATGGGGGTCAAGGGGACTGTGCTATTTTTATTTTTTGTCGCAGTGCGGCATTCGGGATATTAGTTTCCCGACCAGGGTTTAAACCCGTGCCCCCTGTAGTGGAGGCACGGAGTCTTAACCACTGGACCACCAGGGAAGTCCCTGTGCTACTATTTCCATTATACGCATTAAGACTAAGTTGTGCACTTTCTTGGTTTAAAAAAAAACAAACGACACTCTATGACTGGAATAAATAAAAATAAATTTAGAAACAATGTAAAAGAAAAAAAAAAAAGTAACATACACAGCACACCCTCATTTTAGGAGCCTTAAAGAACTGGAAGGGGATACACCCCAACATGTCAACAACCATCATCTATAAGTTGTGAAAACGTGGGTGTTTTTTCTGATTTTCTGTAGTTTACAACTTGTCTATAATAAAGTTATACTGCATTCATAATACACGGCATGATATTCAAACTCTGAATTATTTTAAGTGATGTCAATCACTCATGCAAAACCAGTGTGTGCATAATGAATTTAAGAATGAGCAGAACTGTATTTTTAAACAAGTAGGAAGACCGACTGGAAGGGAACAGCAGAACGCCAGCAGTCGGAGGAATCCTGGTCTCTTCCTTCTCTGCTTTCCACACTGCTTTCTATAAAGTGCTTGGACCGCTTTTTGAAAAGTCAAAAGTAAGGGACACAGAAACTGCAGAGCAGCGGCGCCCACGTGCATTGTGGAGGCTCCCGGGGCTGCGGCGGGAAGGGCAGGGGCGGAGACGGCACCCGGCTTGGGCTCACTCTCCTCTGCTTGTGCCTTTCGGGCTTCGGCCCGAGGTGTCATGTGTGCTCCAGCTAAGAGTGCTTTCAAGTGAACACGTAACTGAAAATGAAGCTGGCTGAACTGCAAACAGGAAGACTCCTCGTTCACACTCAGACGGGTGTGGGCAGAGCCTACAACCTGACACCTGCCAGTTCTGCGTTCCCGTTCTCACCCCAACTGTGTGCCCCCCTGAGAACGATGATCCTCTGAGGACACGGGGCTGCTGTGCGGCTAAGAAATGGCATAGGAAGAGTGCCCTGCAGATGGCACATCTACTGTTACAAGCAGGACTAAGAACTCCAGGCTAGCACCCCGGCGAGCACCAGTTACTTACGTTCTCGCTCGAACAGCTCTCTGACGCCAGGCAGGTCTCTCGCTGCTCCAAAGTACTTGTAACCTCGATTTCCTGGGACTTCTTTCCCTTCGTGATCCAGCATTTTAGGGCCAACTTTCTTATTGGGAAGGAAGAAGAGAAAATGGACCTGACCCTTAAACCCAGTATTTCCATGTTTGCAAACAGATTTAAAATAAAAATGCTAAAGGTAGAAAATATTAATGTACAACAGAAATATATTTAGGTACTTTTTTTAATCCCTTAAAAATCAACCTAAATACCTAACAGTAAGAGGATGACTTAAGTAAATTATAGCATATTCAGGATGGAATATATCCTATAGCTTAAAAATGATGGTTCATATGGAACTCTTCTATTGACTTAAAAAAACACAATATAATGTTAAGTGAAAAAAGCTTTAAAAAATTGCAAAAACCCTAAATGAAAAGCAGTAGAAGACAAATGAAATATCCAGAAGATGGAATTCACTCCACTAAAAATGATGACGTTGACAACTGTATACAGTACGTGACCCTGGACAAGGCTCTGTACTGTAAGGGGAAAGGCCATAAAGGATGAAAATCAATAAAACAGCCAAATGACTGCATCAAGGTTAAATGTCTTAAACTCTACCATGGTTATATAAGAGAACATTCTTATTCTTAGGAAATACCCCTTAAGTATTAAGGAGTAAAGGAACATGATGTATTTAAGCCTCAAACGGTCCAGAGAAAATAAATCTCAAGGTAGACACAGAAAATGATAAAGCAAATACAGAAAAATGTTAAAAACTGGCAAATCTGTATAAAGCGTACATAGGATTTCTCTATACAATTTGTGGAACTTTCTATGAGCTCAGAAATGCTTTTTGAAACGATTATATAAATGATTATTTACTGACATGAACATATGCGTCTGATAAACTGTTGAGTGAACAAAGCATACAGTTAGAATAATGAACCATTATCTGTAAAAATAAACATATATGTGTATAGAAAAAATTCTAGAAAGATAAGTAGAAAATGTTAATAGTCATTTCTCGGTGGTAGGAAAATATATAACGTAATCTGTACCACATAGAATATGTAAAATTTTTTTATATTTTAGAATTTTTATATTTTTTGTTATATATTCTCTTTTTTTTGACATAAAAGTAGGTACTCTTTATACAATCAAAGTTACCATTTTGAAAAGAAGTATAAAACCTAGAACCAAAATTGTACATACATGAGTATGACCTCAGTTACAGGACTCATGGAAAAACAATGGATGGAAATATTCCAGAAGTTGCTCCTAGTTAAAAGGATCATGACTGCATGGTGTGCTGCTCTATACTTTTCTGAACTTAATAACAATATATCACTTTTTCTCTTATTATTGTACTAAAATACACGTAACATAAAATTTGCCGTCTTAACCATTTTTAAGTGTCCAGGTCAGTGGTATTAGTACATTCATAGCATCATGCAACCATCACCACCATCTTGTAAAACAAACTCTAAACGTGTCACTTTTTCTTTTTTCAGCTGCGCTGAGCGGCTTGCAGGATCTTAGTTCCCCGACGAGGGACAGAACCTGGGCCACGGCAGTTAAAGTGCTGAGTCCTAACCACTGGACCACCAAGGAATTCCCTAAATGTTACTTTTGTACATAGAAAATGAAAATAAAATTCTTTAGCATTAAAGAGACGCTAGGGGGCTTCCCTGGTGGCGCAGTGGTTGAGAGTCCGCCTGCCGATGCAGGGGATGCGGGCTCGTGCCCTGGTCCGGGAAGATCCCACAGC